AAAGTTATTTTCCAGTTTCCCAGGGTCCTGGACCCAGTAATAACATCTTCCTGAAGGGCAATGGGTCTGTCTTTAACCTCGCCCTCTTTAGCAGGTACATAATCTGGAGGCTTCCAGCAGCAACCTGGGGTGTTGTGTGCTCCCTGTGTGAGGATGGTCGGATGCTCGGTCGCTTTCCCTTCTGGGAAAATGCCAGGCCCTCAGGCCTAGGCTCAGCCAGCACGGGGTGTCTCTTCTTTCCACTGGCTCCTCTGGAAACCCACTAAGTTATCTTAATTACCACTCCTCCTTGCTCTCTGCCAAGAATTGGGGAGATTTATAATTGGATCAGTCAAATATTTACTGTGGTTTATTTCTTTGCCACTGCAGCTTCTTGTAAAAGTTGCGTTTTCATGCCACTTCCGGGCATGAGGGATGGCTCACAGGCACGGCCCTTCTCCAGCAAGTCAGCTAGGGTTATTCCTCCAAGGTCAGAGAAGAAGGGGTGGGGAAGGAGGGGGAAAGGGAGGGGGAGAGAGAGGGAGAAGGAAGAGGAAGGGAGGAAGGGAATCAGGAAGGGAGAGAAGGAGGAAAGGAGAAAGGAAGCGCACACTTTGAGGAAGAGGGATGTTTTCTATTCCAGGTAACTGTACTGTTTCCCCTTCTTCCCCTGGTATAAAAGGGACAGAGGCCACTGTGTCTCTTTTGTTATGACTGGGTTTGCTATATACTCCTAATGCCCTTCAGGGAACTCTGTGGCCTGTTAGAATGTGTCGCGCCGTGACCTTTATAGCCAGCTAAGCAGAGCATGGCCCCTGAATGTGTCCATTTCCTGTTCCTGAAGTGGCTGGTCCTGTCCTGAGCCTGAATTATCAGTCCCCAGTGAAAATGGAGCTCTAGCCAGGCTTCGGGAAATGCTGTCCTTATAGTATCACCCTTGGCTAGCAAGGAGCTTCTAGGGAGGGAGACTGCCTAAAACCACATCCTAGATCGCAGATGCACTCTGAACCAGCAGGTCTCCCTGCCTAGAAGCTCCTTGCTAGCTCCCGGACCCTGCCCTGGACTGCAGTCTCCACACTTGGCTCCCCAGACCCACGTTGTGTCTCTGGACCCTCCCTGGAGCAATGAACAATGCTTGTGCTGTATCAGCCTATGAGTAGAGAAGCCAGATGTTTCTCTGAAAGAGGACCAGGTGTGTCAACTGGAATGCGCGGGCAGACTGGGAGAGGCACTCTACAGATACCAGAGGGGCAGTTTCACCAATGAATGGCTCTCCACACTCTCGTGGGTAACCCGTCCTCTTCTGCCTGACGAGCGAGGAGAACAAGGCTGGAATCTGCTGCCATCTTGGGGAGTACACGGGAAAGGGAAAGAGAAATGGAGCAGAGAAATCCATGAAGCCTGCAGAAGGGGCAGGTCACCATTTCAGAGGCGGGCTGTCACCAGCAGCGATGGATAGATAGTTCCTGGAGCAGTTCCAGGATCTTTTCCAGGTGCTAATCGTCCATCCAGGCCACAGCGCTCTTGGGCACTGCTGCCGTAGTTTGGTACCAGGCCCTGGCACGCTCAGCAGAGGAGAGAGGCTATATGAGAGATTCCCGGGGCACCTGGTGGCAGCATGAAAAGGATTGTGGGGCCTGTATGGCACTGCCCAGCTAGCAGTAACGGGACTACAGTGCCATAGTGATCTCCGCCACAGAGGCCGCCAAGTTGGAGCGTCAAAGAAGGAAGGGACATGAGGCACAATAAGGGAAGAAGCTCATTCACATGGTTTATTGTGCTGAACCAGGAAGCAGAGTGCTGAGCATCTCTCAAATCTTGGCGGTGTTTATGAATTTCCAAACGCCCAGCCCGCAACCTCCAATCACACACACACACACACACACACATTCTAACTGGTCATGCCCGACTGGCTAAAGCTCTCCTCTCCTCTCCCATTTAAAACAGCGCAGTAGAAGACGGAAGCAAAAATGATCATTGGAGACAAAACTGTTGCTTCATCCCAATTTTGTTTCTCTCCATATCATGCATTTACAAGTTGGCTAATTTATTTGTTTGATGTTCAAGAAACATTTGTCAATCATTTTCTGCTCTAGTCAGATTTGGTTGGGGCGTGACGTCCAATAACGATGGCTGAAGTTTCTAGCACACAGTTTGCACGCGTGGCCCTCGTAGTTCCAGGCGCCAAATATATCAGTTCAGTTCGTTCTTAGAGCTATGTTTTGCTATGGAAACCATTGCCTTGCCTATTGCAAGGACAAGAAGACAGAGGTTCAGGCCCTTGATAGCTTCCGCAAAATGCCAGCAAGCAAGTGAAGACCGGAGCTCAGAGCCTGACCCAGGCAAGCAAACCCTGAAGCTGTCACTCTGAATACTCCAGCAGCCACTGAGTCCCTGTGCCTGCAGCTTACATCCTTCTGTGTGGACTAACGACAGGCACAGGAGCAATTGTGTCATTTAGGGAGTAAGATAAGAGCTCAGAAAGTGATGACGTACATAAAGGGATACAGAAGTGAGATGTGTGGGCCACCGGATCTTCTCTCGCTCTCCCGTTCACACCTTGTTGGAGAACCCATGGCTGACAGATTTCCTCTAAATGAAAACTGCCCTCTAAACCTCCACAGAAGGCCTCTGAGGAGTCAGCCAAAATAAATGCCCTTCGTCTACTCTGAAAAATGCCTTCTTCCCTAGTCATTTGATTGGCTGGACACCAAGACTCGCCACTAGTCTTGAGCCATTTCTGTGTCCCTCGGCTGGCCAGCCAGCTCTGCACCGGATGACTGATGCCCAAATTAGTCGTGAGCAATGGCTCCACACAAGTAATCACCTTCTCCAAACTTTGCCTCCTGAGGGTGATAACTCGGACCCCAGGTGAAGCCTATTCTTCTCCTCTCACGACCAAGGAAGGTACAGCCATTGCTCTAGCTCACGGCCGCCTGTAGACACCAGCGTTCATGGTCGGACATTTACGAGGTTGCTAGGGAACAAATGCCTCAGTTACAAAGGTCTCTGGAAGCAGCGTCTGTTTGTCATATCCCTCCAAACCATTTATTTCAGCCCATAAGGACGATGGTGGGCAGTGGAGTGTGGGGCAGAGGGAAGCTCCCCACAAACACTTACTTACTGAGATGTGAGCCATTTCGTCTTCCCAGAAATGGCCATCTCGCTCCCCACGTGAATGACTAGAGCCACGTGCCGCCTCCCTGGGGTCCTTCCGAGCTGCGCGTAGGTGGGCCTCAGTCACTAAGTACTTTTTAATTTCTTACCTCCCTGGCACTGCCCTGAGCATTACCTTGTGTCATCCCGGTACCGTATTCCTGAACTTGAGGTGCCACCACCCCTGAGAATAAAAATAGACTCCGCGTCAAACAATAGCGAGTGTGGAGTCAGAATTCAAACGTGGGTTCGTCTAATGGCAGAGCCTTTGTGCTTAAGATTACTAAGGCTTTTGATTTGGAAGACGGGCGATTCTGATGAGGGAGATATCAAGTTAGGCAATTCCTGGAGCTTCCGGCTATGAAGTCAGGAGGGGGTTATGGCTGATGTCAGCTGTGTATGTGGGACTCTTTCCATGGAGGGGAAGGTAGGCAGCGCTTTATCCTGCAGAGGTTTTTAATCTGCCGAAGCTCCGCACTTGGGGTCTTCTCTGAGAGTCAGAGTGCAAGGAACTGTTCTGTGTGGTGACTGTGAGTTTGCGAGATTCATCCATTTCTACTGGGGTTTATCGATTTTCTTGTCAACAGGAAGAAACATCGGTGTCCTCTTTGCCTTCCCTGCGTCTTCCCTGTCCAGCCCCTGGGCAACTCATGGCTTCTCTCCCTTAGAATGTCCCCCGAGTGCCTGCCCCTCACTTACTGTCCTCATCAAACTCCTTTCGCCTCACACCTGAGTCTGCAATCTCCACTTCCTGAACCAGTTTTCCTACTTACTTTTCATTCCCTATAGACCAGTTCCTATCCCACCTCCAAAAACTAATTCCTCCGAACGTCCTCTTATCACATCCGTCACTGCCCAAGAGTTCTCAGTGGCTCCCTCTCCCCCGCCGTGAGATTTCACCTGGTGCTTAGAACATGTCTGTCTTGGCTAACGCTGGAGCCTTCGCTCCCTCATCCCCAGAAACCTTAGCTGGTGCATTTGTGCTGAGCTCATCTCTAGCAACTTACAACCTGGTTTCCACAAAAACGGGCTTCAACATTTAAATGTTGCTTTCTTTCAGACCAGGCACTATCAAGGCAGAAGTGTCATAGCTGAACAGAACTTACTTTGTCCCGATTTTTGCTTTCCCACTTAGGAAGTGTGTGACTTTAAACAAAATGCTTGAATTTTCTGAACTTTAAGCCCCTAACCCTGTAAAATATGTAGAGCCCGGAGCACAGCTCTACATGTAAAGTCTAGCATGGGAACAGCCCTGCATTCGATACCCAACAAAACAGAGAGAAAGAGTAAGGAGGAAATTCTCGCAATTAAAGTACTGTATTTTTTTATTCCAGAATTACCAATGTGTGCTTGTGACCAATAGAAATAGGATTAATAATAATACAGAGTCGAGATATAGCTCGGTGGAAGAACACTTGTCTAGCATATATGTGAACTCAGGTTTCATTCCCAGCACTACAGAATAGAAATAAAAATTAAGTCTGGAGTTTGGGCAAGCACCTATAAATCTAGCTACTTGAGAGACTGATGCACAAGGATCACAAGTTCAAAGACAACCTAAGAAAGCTATCCAGACTCCATCTCAAAATAAAAATAGAACAAGGATGGAATTACAGCTCAGTAGCAGAGCATTGTTTAGCATCTGCAAGGCACTGAGTTCAAAGCCCAGTACCACTGAAAATTAATTAATAATTATCATTATAGGCATAATAAATTATAGCTGACACTGTTTCATGACTTATATGGCTAATTTTACTTTATAAAAGCGTAGTTAAAAATTACTTTTCTATTAGCTGATGGGCAATGCTGACTAAGGGTACAGGTCGAAAATGGGCCTTACACCTTGTCCTCTCTCTGCTCCCCAGTATGACTTCATGGAACGCCTGGATGGAAAGGAGAAGTGGAGCGTGGTGGAGTCGCCCAGGGAACGCAGGAGCATCCAGACCCTGGTGCAGAACGAGGCCGTGTTTGTGCAGTACTTGGATGTGGGCCTGTGGCACCTGGCCTTCTACAATGAAGGCAAGGACAAGGAGATGGTTTCCTTCAACACAGTCGTCTTAGGTAGGTCTGGGGTCCCTGAGGGGAAGCTCTGTAAAGGGTAGGATGGAAATGATGAGGGCTCTCTGCGAGATGCAGCAGCCCTGACATAGTCTACTGTGTGAAGCCATGGGAACCAGCAGGAGTCACTACCAGACCTGAGAATGTCTGAATCAGACAGCTGGGACCAAGTACCGTGCGGCCAACCCGAGGGTATTATTGGTTTTCTATTGCTGTGACAAACGCCATGACGAAGGCAACTTGCAGGAAGAAGGGTCGATTTGGAGCTTGTGTAAATGGTAACAGTCCTCCAAGGTCGCAGCAGGAATGTGTGACCGCAGGCAAGCGTGGCAACTGGGGTTGTGAGTCAAGACTGAGGGCTTGCATCTCCAATAGCAAACAGGAAGCAGGGTGTACGCCAAATGGTACAAGTCTTTGAAACCTCAAAGCCCACCCCCAGTGGCATACTTCCTCAGCAAGACCATACCTCCTCAGCCTCCCCAGATAGCCACCAACTAGGGACCAAGTTTTTAGATGTCTGGACTGTGGGGACGGTTCATTCAAATCACCACGTTGAGCACATAGTTGGGCTTGTAAGTGCCTCCCTTCCCTACTCATAAAGCAGAGGCACTGCCGGTATCACCTCCCATGCTCCTCCTAGGAGTAAAGAATGCTTTTTTATTTCTAAGTCTGTAGCAGAGCCAAGAAACACTGGCCATTCATATCAGCTGTAATGTCTTAAAAATTGAGAATATGTCAAAAATTTAAAAAAGGCTTTTTTTTTTTCGTTTAACTTAAAAAGACAGCAGGGGAAAAGATACAGATGTTTTTAAAAGTCATATATTTATTCCCAAACAGGAAGGCCTCAAAATGCTTTAATTCAATGCCTATCACTTTGGACATGTTTTAGGCCTGCTTTTCACTAGGCATGAAGACAAAAGCTAAGGTCTAATCCAAAATTGCCTCTGTCGTGTGCTTATTAACCCCCCAAAGGATGATTCCTTGTAAAGAATCACATTTTTCTAGAAAACCCTCGAATGTTAACATTAGAAGGAACTGCAGTGACCATCATTGAGGTTATGAGTTTTCATCTTCTGCTGATAACTGATCCATACAAAAGCTCCGTGAGTCAGCAGGCGACTGTGCCATTCCACTGAGGACTAAATTGAGTTCTGTGGTGCTAACTGGGGCCTCAGGGTCCCAAGATGTGGGAATGCCCTTCCCTCCTGAGCCCTGGCCATCATCGTCCTACAGCGCCATGTTACCTCAGCTGCCGTTCACCGTGGATTTAAGATTCACTAGAGGGATGGAGTTAGGGCATTCGTGAGAAAAGGACCTCAGAGAGCAGGACTAAGTCCCAGATTTTCTTTCCCACATTGTAGCTGGGTGGAGTCGCCTTGGGCCTCAATCTCCTGACTAGGAAGATGAGATGATCCTATCCCAAAGGCTAAAGTGAGGATCACCATGAATGAACCTGGCCTGCATCCAGCAGTCACGAATTGAAGCCTATGACTTTAGGAAAGCACCTTGAAACACTGTTAATCTGCTTACTACATTGTAGAACTTCTCTTTGGGCTCCCACATGGCTTTCTCAAAGAATTTCTTATTCTTAAAGGATCTATGTAATCCATCCTGAATGTCAGACTACATTCTTTCTCAGTAACCGCATTAGAATTGCATAAAATCACATACTTTGGGTAGTGACCATAGGTCTAAGGTTGATCCTTATTCTTTTTCTAAGGAAAAATGGGCTCCCAAGGCTAGCCAAATGTTCAAGAGTAGAAGTTGGCACACTGAAGCCCAGAGGCCGAATCTGGCCCACTGCCTGTTTTTATAAATAAAGTTTTATTGGCACACGGCCACATTCATCTGTTTGCATGTTGTGTGTGGCAGCTTTCCCACTGTTACAGCAGAGCTGAGTGTTGCAACAGGGACCATATGGCCCACCGAGCCTAAATAGTTACTATCTGTCCCTTCACAGGGAAAGTTTGCCAACCTATGCTCCAAAGCCATGTCATAACTTAGTCTACTGGAAGTCATAGAGGAAGCTCCCAACAGATGGGAAATCTCTAGGGTGATGTTAGGTCCCAACAGGGGAGTGAAGTAGAACAGCAGAGACAAACTTACAAAAGCAAGGAACGAGAAACAGAACTGGGACTAGAATGAGAAGATCATGATGAGCGATGACTTTCTTTTCGCCTCCTGGTATTTAAATTCTCAAAGTACATGACAGAGCACGCATGGCGGCTGGTTTGGTGGAGAGGCGTGGAAAGACGGTCACCACAGCAGTGGCACAGGGTGCCAGATCACGTGTTCACCATCGCCATGTGCCACTGGCGTTCTTCAGCTCACCCAACCCACTGAGTAGCCATGGTGGTGGGGGAAGCTTCTATCCCTCTGTCGTTTGGAAACGGAGGATGGCAAGGCTGAGAATGTAAAAGGATTCACCCAAAACCACGAAACCAGAGAGTTGAAGTCAGAGCACAGGCTTCGCACGGCTGTGCTCTTAGTCCTGAATTTCTTTGGGAGCTAGCCAAATGCATCACCTTCCCCTGAAACCACCAGCTTTCTGGGGTTACCTTGCAATGGTGTCTTGCCCCATTTCCTCACCCTGTATGGACACTGAAAGGTAGCGTGGAGACTACCCCCACCCCCAGTCATTACCCTCCCTGCCTGTCAAAACTGGAAATAGCAATTCTCCCCCAGAGGGTTCCTCTCATCTACGCTGTAGCTCAGAGACAGAGTCAAAGATAATCAGCCTAATAGTTGGGCAGACATCTGATAGAGCAATGATAGCAATTGGCCTGAAATGTGGGAAAAGAACAGTGTTTTCTTTGGTTCGGAAGTTCTTTCCCACACACCTATCATCAGGACATTCTCCCTCAAGAGCAGTCAGGGGCAGGAAAACCCCCCATGATGGGAAACAGAAGGAAAGCGTTAGATGGGTGTGGGGCGATCTCACTATAGACACCCATGACTCAGGACTCTGTCGTCTCCTCCAGAGAAGCAGCCTGCCTCGCAGAAAAGAGCATCCTCCTGGAAACCACAGAGGCATGTTCTAGAAGCACACTGTAAGCCCCCACTGTATATAACCCCAACTCCTGGAGCCAGGAAGAGCTCAGTGGTGGAGTACTCACCTGGCCTGTTCAAGGCCCTGGTTTCAAATCTCTGCACCGCCACAAAAAACAATAATTAAAAAAAAATCTTTGAATTCCTAAGCATACCTTCATCTCCACTGTTTCTTCCACACAAAAACTTAAACCATGTTGATTCAAAGAGAATAATCTTATAATTGGAAAAGGGACTGAAAAGGGCAATACATTTAGAACTTAACCATCTCTGTGTGGGTTCCCCCCCCCAAAAAAAATATAAAAAGGCTTCAAACATAAGACCACAGGAAAAGTAAATGTTCATTAAACTCCTTTATAGTTTTGTTCACTACAGATTCTCTCCCTTCTTAATCGTGTACACACGCACACATTGACACAGTTCTGTGACTGTATAGCAGGCACTAAGGACCTCAGGCATTGATGGCATCTGGCCTCATCTTGGGAGAGGGGAAGAGACATACTTGAAAAATTAAAAAAAAAAAGATAGACCTGAATCATAAGCCAGTGAGAGAGGTGACAGGAACAAAGGAGACCAAAAGCCCACATTGAGGAAAGGGAAGGAAGAAGTCACCCAGAAGTCAGATGACATCTAAGCTGAGGCCTAAGGACAAATGTCCCCAGCCAGGGCCATGCAGAGAAGTAGGGAGTATGCAGAGATCTCTGTCCCCTTGTACAGAACCATGGTGACAAGGAGCTTCCCAGACCCTTGCTGCTTTAGGCCTGAAAATACCAAGTTGGGAACTAGGGACATGGGTCCCAGAGCGACTCGGTTCTACCCAAACACCCAGGTTGCCATGATTAGTGAGAAGCAGTCAGTACCTCATGGTAGGAGCAACTTCCAAAACCACAGGCTCCACCATGCCAATCCTCTGCTTAGAGTGCACACGTGTTTCCAGGAGCCTCAGAATAAGATCCGACTTGGCTGGTGAACTGCGGGGCCCGAGATAATCTCCACCCACCCCTTGGCTAGATCTCTCCAAACTCACGTCGCTCTGCTCTTGGCTCCCCATCTTCAGTCACTCTAGATTCAATTCACCTTACAGCCTTTGCCTAAGCTGCCCCACCTACCTGGAATTCTCACCCACAGGTTCTCATCAGCTCGTTACAGTTCATCCTTCCTCGGTACCGAGTGAAAGAGGGGGGCCCACCCTACCTACCCCCTCTAAGGGGCTTCCCTCTCTTACCCCTGAGTAGACCACTCTCTGCCAAGAGCTTACTGTAATTATTGTTCATGTATTTGTTGGGGGGGGGCAGGGTTTCTTGTATTCTCTGTAGCAGTGGAAAGTAATGAGGGGAGAGCCTGTATCATTCCACGAGCCCCTGCAGTTCCTGGTGTGTAACGGGTGCTCAGTTAATACACTGTACCCTATGTTGAAAATGTGAAGGGTCTGAGATCTTACCCTAAGTACAAACTAACACATTAGCCTGCCACTGCTTCCTGGGTGTCATCAGAAGACATCAGGCTGCAGGACGGGTTGGGGAGATGTCTCGGCTGGTAAAGCACTTGATAGGCAAGCATGAGACTGTGAGCACAACCCTAACATCCACATAGAACTCCAAGTACAACAGTACGTGCCTGAAGCCTCAGGGCTGAGGAAACGGAGTCAGGGGGATCCTTGCTAGCCAGGCTGGCAAGATCAGCAAGCTTACAATTTGGTGAGGGGAAAAACAGGAGGTGGAAAGCAATAGGGAAAGACACTGAGCATGGCCATCCATCCGCTACATGCACACGCATGCTCAGGATGTGCTACACACGGGTACACAGGACTCCAGGGTCACAGACAATGGATTTCAAGCCCTGATGCCTATGGGGTATCGAGGAGTGAACCTGGTGATCCTACATGTACAGTTGTCTCACAGGAGAGAAGCCGTGAGCTTACTGAGGCTGGGTCCAGCAAGGGCCATAAACACGCTTATCTTTCAATCCAGAGAGGGGCATTCGCTATTAAACCTGGTGATCCTGCCCTTTACTCTGCAGAGATATTTCCTTTGTCTGCCCAGGCCATACATAGATGGTGTTGGATAGATGCTTTGGAATATTCCAGAATACCCCAATTCCCAGGCTTCGGCCCCCAAGACATGTAGAAACAGGAGTAGGCCCAGGCACACCAGTCCTCCAAACCTGCATGAGATTTCTAACTTCGGTATCTATGGAAGCACCCTGTGCCCTTTGAATAAAAGATGAGCTTGCAAAGCCTGCAGCTACTGTGTGTGCTCCTCAGCCTCTTAAAGAACTCACCCAAAGGAGCTGGAGCTGGGCTGTGAACTTCTAGACATCAAGAAAACTAGCTGGGTGGACTTTAAAGTCCTTTATGTATTTGGGGGGGAGAGGAAAAGGAAGAAGAAGAAAAAGAAGAAAAAGAAAGCAAACCCACTCACTGAGTTTCCTCAGAAACGAAGAACAGCTTGATTCAAGGTAATAGAAGTGAATGCTAGAGAAAGATGGCTGGAACGCACCGTTTGAGCACTCAGTGCAGGGAGGAGTGTGTGAAGAACACGTCCCAATACCGCGCACGTGACTCCTTCACAGCACCTTCCTTTCCTCAGGTTGGGTCACGTCATGTATTGGACCTACTGGCTCATATTTTTCCTTTCATCATCTTAGTTGTTTGGAATCTGAAAGCTTGAGTGTGTCTTGTTTGAATTTAGAACAAAAAGGATCATTTTGAAAGAACATGCCAATCTGAATCGACATGAAAAATTTCCAAACTAGTCCCCTGAAAGATGAGATGAGATTAGGGATAAGGAGAACCAGGAATAAGATTCTAGTGCAGGGTAGAGCAAGCAGACTAAATGGTGTTCACAGAATTCTGTGAACACAAAAATTAAGTTTAAATGACTGTTATTGAGGTGGGGGACTGGAGAGATGCCTCAGAGGTCAACAGCCCTGGTTGTTCTTCTAGAGGACCCAGGTTCAATTCCCAGTACCTGCGTGGCAGCTCCCAAACATCTGCAACTCAAGTCTCAGCAGATCTAACACCTTCTGGACTCCAAAGGCACTGCACACACGTGGTACACAAGCACACATGCAGGCAAAACACCCATACACCTGAAAGGTTTTAAAAGAAAAAAAAAAGACTGTATAGAACCCAATGCCTGCTTCTTGCAGAACCCTGAAACATGCATAGGGGAATATAAGACTTAAGTATAGCCACACATCAGTTAAGATAGGGATGCACTCATGAGCGAATTCCTTTCACTGTGGCACACACATCATGAAACACTCACACAACCTGAGAAGGCTGCAGGGTGCTGGCTCACACTGCCCAGTATGTTGTCCAGCACCAGCCACACCTCGCCTGCAGTTCCTAACTCTGCTTGTCTTTTTCTCATAATTCCCCAAGGCAGAGAACATTTTTGCATTCCAAGTCTGAGATTAGGACGCTCTGTACCTCAGGATAGAATCCTGAATCCTTTGTTTCAATTCACAGTTTAAATTGGTAGAGCAACTTCAGGGTGAAGGCATGGCTGACAGGTTTTTAGTGCCTAAAAACCTTTCAATATCCAGACATGGAAACTTCCATAGTATTTAAATCCAAATAGACAGTTTCTTCTATAAAAATAAATAAAATCAACAACAAAAGGGGGCCTGGAAAGATGGCTCAGTAATACGAGCACTTCTTGCTTCTGCAGAGGACCTAGGTTGAGTTCCCAGCACCCACATGATGGCTAACAACTGCCAGCCAACTCCAGTTCCAGAGACTCTATCACCCTCTACCGGCCTTCATGGGTACTACATGTGTACAAAGCACGGAAACAAGTAGACCAAAAACTGGTACACAAAAAGTATAAATAAATCTTAATAAAATAAAAAGAATAAAAACTGTGCCTGTCCCTGCAGTCCAGCATGGGTTAGCACGGGCACAGCGCTGGTTACCTCCACGCTTTGCTCGTGTTGACCTTGACGCGGCCTGTTCCCTGCTCCCTTCGCTCACCCTTGATCCTCACCACCCCCTTTTGGGTCGTTACAAAAGGCAGGTTATTAAACGACCACACAAGCACGGCGGAGAAGAAGGTCATCGCTCCATCTCTCTCTTTCAGATTCGGTGCAGGACTGTCCACGTAACTGCCACGGGAATGGTGAATGCGTGTCCGGACTGTGTCACTGCTTCCCAGGGTTCCTAGGCGCGGACTGTGCTAAAGGTACGTGTCCACCACGCCCCTGCAGAGGGGTGGGAGAAGGAGCGCCCTGATCGCCTTCCCATTAAGTCCTTTGCATGTGAACTTTGCAAACCCACGCATGTGCCAAGGCTCCCTCTTTGGCGAGGAGCCGGTTTTGATATATGACTAGCGGCCAGTGTGCCTATAGGAGTAAGGCAGGCAGCCTTGGCACTGAGGTGTGCTGAGAAGAAAGATTTGCTAAAAATGAGATGGTCGGATTTCCTGTAAAAGCAGAAGTGAATTACCATCACGCCTTTCGTATAATCATTAGCTTCTATGTAATGGGAGATTAAGCATCTCAGGGTTAGTGAATTTCATTCATTCTGGCCAGCTACCCTCCTAATCTAGGAAGTGCTATTTATCTTTGTGGAATTGGTTTTAAATTGTATTATTAATTTATCTAGACTGCTTTGCAAAGAATGGCTGGGGCCTTGGGATTCTTGGGGGAAAGGTAATTTAAGAAAGAAAATGACTCTCTGAAGAACAAGGAATTTAGAGGTTGCACACCTGGCTTGGAAGAGACCTTCAGTGTGACCTTGAATTGGCTCTCAGGGTTAAGTGTAGTTGGGGCACACATACACACACACACACACACACACACACACACACACACACACACACGGGTATCCAGAACACCACAAACACACTCGCAAGTGTTGCACTGTCCTTTTCTGTTTCGTTTCTAAAATGCACGATACTGCGTGTAACACAGAGTGCCCACCCGCAAACAGGGAAGTGTAGAAAACAGCAAGGGGACATTAAGAGACCTCGCTCAGCTTGAGTTTTCCGGTCTCGACTTTGCCCGTACACATCTCTGCCTCTTGGCGACCTTGTGCAAGTCAGTCAGCATTTCCGAACTTTGATTTCCTGATCTAGAGAAGGGAGCGTGACGTCAGAAGTCCAATGCGGGTGGTGTAGATACGTACAAAGCAGAGTACCAACAAGTGCACAGCAGTGAGTACTAGCGCAGTACTAAGTACGACTCGGAATTCTGTGTCTCAGTAGAGCCCATTGTAAGGTGCCAAAGGGGTTGTTGGTTTTGTGGCTATTTATATTTTAATTTGTTTATATAATCAAGTCATCTTTTCATCACCTTTATTTGCATTTCACTAAAGATTTCTGCCTTGATATGAAAAATCACTAAAACTGCCACAACATAAATAATATCATTGCTTTGTTCAATCCTCAAATCTCTTCCTCTGGAAAATAACATCTAGATACTCTCCGTAACTTAAAAGATTTGAGATTTGCGTCCTGATGAGCACCCAGTGTTAAGTGAATGAGACTTTTATATCCCAGAATCCCTGGCATTGGCCACCATGTAAGTGACATTCCTTCCTAAGACATCTTGTCTGTCCCATAACATACAGGTTTGGTCAACTTCTCAGATGTGGAAAGACAGAAAAGATGAAGTCTCTGAACAGTTCCCTTAGTTGTGTTCAGCAGAGCACACTCACGCCCCCAAGACACAGGGTCATACCCACAAGGAGAACAGCCCACTATCGGCCCCTTCCAGTGCTGGCTCCAAAGGGTCCAGTGGGGGTGGAGGTTGACCCTGCATTGCCAAGTCGAGTGCTTTTCCTAGAGACGGCTTAGAGGAAGGCAAGCCTCAATATCGTCTGGATGGCTTTTCTTGTGTAATCTAATTTGCCTGAGAGTGAAGGCATTAATGAGAGGAAGGACTGAGTCGCCCTTTTATATGTGGCTGCAAATGGGCCGAACACTCAGCCACGCGGGGCTGTGAGCTGTAAGTGTGTATTAACACTGACACACATCGATGTATTATTAATCCTAAAAACCATGTGTGCTCTGACCGCACATCCAGTCGCTGGCCTTTCAGACCCAAGTACCTGGCCAGTTAAGAACTCTCCGCTCCGAATCCATTTGCAGACGCGTGTCCATTCTGCGTTATGGATCCGTAATGGAGTGTACATTCAGTTGCTTAAAAGGACTCTCGGCGTGTGTTTTGCATCCACCTCCTGTGCTGTGGCTGGGCGCACCCTCCAGGCGTGCATTAGCCATAGACTATAATTGATCCTTGTGAAAGAAATATTGAGTGGCTGTTAAGAGGAGTTACTCCTTCCTACTCAATCGCCGCTCCTGAAATCAGGCTCTGAACTCGTATGCATATTTTAATTTAACTGTTGATGCATATGATGGGTAAAATTAAGGCGCTTAAAGAATGAAATTGCTTTCTGCTGTATCCCTCATTTATTGTAGGCAAAGTTGGTTTAAGGGTATTGGAAGCAGCTGCCTGCCTCTCTGCCCTAACAGCGCTCCCTTCTTCATGCTATTGAAGCGGCCACAGGTCAAGTTGCTTTGTTATGAACCATGTATGCTTCCTTCCGGTTCCAAGCTCTTACTTCCCAAACTTTGACCTTCCCAAACTTTGCCATCAGTACTTTTACTAACTTATTTTTAAATCAATTTATTTAATTTAAATTAATTCATTACACATACACAGATATATTTCTTTTAAAGAGAACAATGCCAAAGCAAAAATTGAAAAAAAGACTAGAATCAGTTGCCATGAATATAAAATGTGAATGCCCCTTTAAAAGTAACCAGAAAGTTGCCAGGTGGTGGTGACACACACCTTTAATCCCAGCACTGGGAGATGGAGGCAGATCTCTGAGTTCAAGGCCAGCCTGGTCTACAGAATAAGTTCCAGGACAGCTAGGGCTATTATACAGAGAAAACCTGTTTCAAAGATTTTATATATATCCAGAGATTTGTCTTCTTTGCCACATTTATCTTTTTTGAATATTTAAGCCAAGTCATCTTCTAACCTTTTATGACTCACCAAGATTCCAGTAGTAGTAAGCTGGGAGGTGGTGATGCACATCTTTAATCCCAGTACTCAGGAGGCAGGGGCAGGTTGATCACTGTGGGTTCAAGGCCAGCCTGGTCTACAGAGCAAGTTTCAGGACAAGCTCCAAAGCTACACAGAGAAACCCTGTCTTGAAAAATCAAAGTGGGGGGATCCAGTAGTGAGGGCTGGGGCTGTAGCGTAGAGTGATGGTCTCAACTGCATTAATGCAATGCATGAGGTCCTGCGTTCGATCCCCAGCACTGCAAAACAAAAAACAAAACAGAAGTCAAGAACCCAGCCATAGACCCAGAATATCCATCCAAAGCCTGGCTTCTTAGGGAAATCCAAGTTTAAGCACCTCGTCCCATAGGCGCTGGCTTCCGAGAATCAGAGAATGCCCTGAGTGCACATGTGTGAGAAGGGATTCACAAACAGCTGCCTGGACAGCTTCCAGCAGGGGAACTCTAACCCCAGCTCTGATGCTGATCTGATGCTGAAGCCTGCACTCCCTCTACTCTCAAAAACTAAGCATGTGCTGGGCACTGTGCAAGTCACTGAATGCATACTGTCTCATCTGTCCACAGAGCAGCAATGTGACATGGGTCAGAGTTTTACCAATCTTCCCCACACCGATTTTTTTAAGGCTTTTAGCATTAAAAATGGTAAAGAAGGCTCAATGGGTAAGGGTTTTTGTCAACGAAACCCACAGCCTGAGTTCAGTTCCAGGACCAACACGGTGGAATGAGAGAGCTGAGACCTGAAAGTTATCTTCAGACCTCCATACATGTGCATAAACACACATGTGCATATGCACACACAAGCACACACATGTACACACACGCATAGGCACACATACACATATATACATACACACACAAACAGCAAATATAATTTAAAATTTTTCAAGTAACTTAAAATATAAAGACAAGTTACCAAAACAGGAGAATTTCTAAACACAGTCACCTCCCCCCCAAGCCTCTATAAGGTCAGCATTTTAAATTTAAACTTCAAAGCCAGAGACTTAACACCCATGCAGTAATTTGAACTGACTTACAGACTTTTCTTTCCACTTTTGCATTTCACATCTGGTTCAGGATCCCACGCTTTGTTTCTTTATCATGACCCCTTGGTCCATCTGATCCATCTAACCCAAGATAGTTCTTTAACTCTTCTTGGATTTCATTTCATGGCCTTGGCCCTTCTGAACGGCATTGCTTAGGCAAATCTTCTCAATCTGGACTTGTCTGCTACATTTTATGACTGGACTGAAGTTACACATTTTAGATACTATTTACCCTTCAGTGAATTACATAAGTGACGAATGAAGCTCCTATGCAAATATGAAGACATGTTGAATATGGTTGTATGAATGTGCACATGTTTGCCTTTCGACATTTTGCATGGGCAAACCAGCTTAAAGGCCCAACTCCATTGGTGTTGTACCGTCTGTCAGCGGCCAGGAGAAGTCCCAGTCACAAACAACTTTTAAGCCCAAGAAACTGGTGTTAGCAGGGAGTAGCCTGAAGCTGATAGAGGAAGGTCACAGGACTAGCAAGAGCAGTTGGCTCTCAGCCTCCTGCTGCCCACAGCAGCCTGCCCCGTCTCCTGGCTGGAGCCCACCACCGCTTCCCTTCTTTCTGGATTAAACCACTGCAGGAGACATGAGCACAAGGTCCCCCACACACATCAGGAATGCACAGCACCTTTGTTCCTGCTCTGACAGCTGTACCCCCAAAAGCCTTGGGTTCTGCCAGTCTGCTAGCGTAGGCAGCCAGCAAACTCGAGCCCTCCCGCCAGGGGGAGAATGTGCCACGTTAGCAGGTGCAATTCCCATCACATCTAAGCGACCTGGTGTGTGTCCAAGTGACAGAAATACAGATTTACTCTCTTGACCTCACACTGCGCACTCCGTGCCCTCAGATGTGCGGTGCAGGCAGCCGTCCCTTGTCTTCTTATAAACCTGCCAGTCTGCATCAGGCGTCTGAAGTCATCCTTCCACAGAGCCTGGGGACCATCAGCACACGTTTATGGAGCACTCATTCTGCACCCCCTGCTGTCCTGGGGCTCCCAGGGGCACGGAGGTCAAAAGGGACCTGACCCGCAGTAGGAACATTGGATGCTTCTAACGTGGCACTCCTAGTCACTTGAGGGAACTTAACCATGCAAATGC